TAGAACTATCTCTTCATTATCATAAATTTAAAGGTACATGGCTTGGGAGGCTGAGTCAGGAGGATTGCAAGTTCAAGGTTAGCCTGGGGAATTTAGTAAGACCCTGTCTTTAAGTAAAATAAAAAAGGGCTGGAGGTGCAGTCCAGTGGTAGAAAGTCCAACTCTGCTCATTCTCTCAGTCATTGTGACACTAGAGTGGGAGGACCGAAGTGTTGCCGTCTCACTGTGCTAACCATTTCTCCTATCTTTCTGTTCCTGATCCTTTAGGTCAGCCCCAGCTGATGCTCACAGCAGGACCTAGTGTTGCAGTCCCTCCCCAGGCACCTTTCGGTTATGGTTATACCGCACCACCATATGGGCAGCCACAGCCTGGCTTTGGGTACAGCATGTGAGCTGAAAAGCTGATCCTGTAGTCTCCTATTTTCATACCGAAACATCGCCTCTGCCCACTTCTCAGTTTATAAATGGGGAAATGGGCAACGTGTTCTTGTAACCTTTATTTCATGAAGGACTACTTTTTTGTTTCTAACTATAAACTTGGATCATCTATGTTAAACATTGTTTCACATTCCACATCATTTTAGAATTTATTTTCAAAGGGGAATAGTATTCACATGGGCTTTTTTCTTCCCCTTCGTTCTTCAAAGAACTGCTTAATATTCAATCTATTGTGAAGAATCTGATTTGCACTCTGTAGTGTTTAAAAAACTCTAATATTGAATCTCTTAAATTTAGTGTATGTAAACAGCTTACAATATGTATTGTCTAAATGCTTTTAAATCTCTCTTACTCAAAGGCAAGCTAAAGCAAAAATACTGGTATGTGACCATGCAAGAATGTCAATGCCAACACAGACAACACTAAACAGCATATCCTGCATTGGATTGCAGTGCTCTCCAAATTATTTGAAAAATGAATACAGACTTGCCTGATTTTTTAAATGAGCATAAAAGGCCCTCTAACCTATGCAGGTTTCCCCATTATGCCTATAGAAAATGCTAGTGTGTTTTGCTCACTTCGTATGTAACAGGTGCCCTTATGTTGTGCTGTATCCTGTGCTTTTTCTGTGGGACCATTTCATTCAGGAACAAAGAGCACCATGATTCCAATCTTGTGTGTATTTACTAACCCTTCCCTGAGGTTTGTGTATGTTGGATATTGTGGTGTTTTAGATCACTGAGTGTACAGAAGAGAAAATTCAAACAAAATATTGCTGTTCTTCAATTTTGTTTGTGGAATTTGAAATTACTCCAATTTAAAATAAACCACTGGACTGTGGAAATACATGTAGAATCGCAGTTTTAATTAAATATCTCCCAAACCAAAACAACGGTTTCATTAGTTTCCTATTGGATATTGAGGTACAGTACAAGGAAGCAGAAGAGGAATAAGCATTGGGACTGTGACATTGTTACGCACTGTTCATAATGAATGTGCAACAGTATCAGTGTCTGGTTTGAAAGAACCAGTCACTAGAGGGCAGCATTTCCTGTCTCCAGACACTTTAAGCTAGAGTGGCACTTCAGGTTTTTATCTCAGCATTTCACTTAAGTAAATCACAGGTGTTAACTTGTATGGACTTTAAATAAAAGTATATTTTAAAAAGTAGTTAGCATGCTGTTTCTCACCATGAACTCCAAGGATGCTCAAATATTTGGTAATGTTGGGATTTTAGTGAATCCAAATGTTTTGCTTATGAATGTCACTTTTTAAAAATTCACTTATCACCCCCCAATCAGTAGTCAACACAGTCCTCTGTCTAACCTTCCACAGCTCTACAATTCTTAGGCAGATTACTATAAGCTCCATAGAAGGGTCATTATAAACTTAAAATCCCTGTACCCTTCCTGCTTAATTCCCATTATTGTCTGTAAAGTGGTGTTGGCAGGAAAATGCTTTTTGGTTTATCACTGTGAAAACATTTTGCTTTTCAAATCCTAGCTGTACTGTGTTCCCAATCTCTGCTCAATTTTTTTCCTTGTTACCAAATCAAGAGAAAGTAATTACCCTTGGGAGCTCATTCTTCTCAGCCAAGAGTTCTCTTAGAGAACTGGTTGTGAACCTAAGGCATGCATGTTGCTAAAAAGATGTTAATGTGTAAGTTGTTTTTTCTAAAGTAAAACCTCAATATTCATGTTTAATTATATTGTTTGCAATAAATAAGTGGGTTTTGGGTTGTAGGTCAGCACTTAAGTCTCTTAATTAAAAGGTTCACCATCAGTGGTCTATGTAAAGCTAGGCCTAGGACCTATACTTTTCCTGTACCTCAATTTTGGAATGACTTTTATCCTTTCCCTTGCCCAACAGAAGCAACTTAACATGCTGTGTTTAAGAACTGTGTTTCGAACAACAACAAAAAACCTTAGTTCAATTATATACTATATCCAATGACCCTGAGTTACTACACTGTCCAATATGGGCTGCACTAGAAAACAGAAACTACTATGTTATATGACATAGGTCTGAGTCCTCAATAATCTGAGTTTCTGAGCTTGTTTACTTATCTTTATATTAAAACTAATTTCTTTTCAGATTTGGTAGGTTTTGTTTAAATTATAAAACACCTATCTCAAGACTAGGTAATCTTGTCTGTACAATAGGCAGTGACTCGTAATAAACTAATTTAAAGCCAAAGATTCTTCCCTAACACATATCACTAGTGATGGTCTAAGAGAAGAAGCTGAAAACAGTATGCGTACATGTTTATGCTAAATGTAACGTGAACAAGAAAGGAGAGACATTAATTGGCAAAGATGCTTTGTTATCCTGTATTCAACAGCTACTATTAGTACAAAAGCAAGACACTGCTCATCTTCAAGTAGTGCCCCTTGACTTTTCTGTAATGAAGTTATACACACGATCTCAATTTTAATTCCTTATGCTCTCCAATTATTGAAGATTTTTAATACTCTGTTAAATAAAGTTTTTTAAAAACACTAATTTAAGTTTAACAAACTCACTGCACGTTAACATGGACATTCATAACCAAGAATGGTGGCGCATGCCTGTAATCTCAGCACTCGGGAGGTTGACGGAGGAAGATCACTGCAAGTTCTAGGCCAGTCTGGGCTACAAAGTGAGTTCAAGACTACTCTGATCTGCACAGCAAGACCCTGTTTTAAAAAAGACCAAAACAAAACATGAACACTGGTTATATGGGAAATAATGACTTACAGATGTTTTTTCCAGTTTTATTAAAATCATATTTGTGAGGAACACTGATATCATAAAAGTTTTGCTTTGTTTTTGGCAGTGCTAGAGATTGAACCCAAGGCCTTGTACACACCAGGCAGGTGCTGTAGCACTAATGTACCCCCATCCAGGTTTAAGTCTGAGGAAGCCTGGAGGACAGGCACATAACATTTTCCAAAATATCAGCTGTCTTCCTTCCTTCCTTCGTGTGATGAGCTCGGTTAGCTTACGAGGAAAGGGCTGAAGTTCAGTTTTCCTGCAAGTAAAAATGTGTCATGACCTAGTTTAACTTCATTAACGTCATGCAAATCTGTTTCCATAAGATCACAAGAACACATGTAACAGGTACTTTTTTGTTTTACAGACATGTTTGATGTGACATGGAATGTTAAAATAGCCATGGATCAAAAAAAATACTGTTTCACTGGGGACATTTAAATTGTTTACTGTGAGTGCAAGGCTGTGAAGAATATAGTCACTGATACAGTGGGAGTGGCAGTAGTTTCCCCCACCACTGCTTTTGCATCACAGCAAATGTCAATAAAAAAATACCTTCATAAAAATAATTCTAAATACAGACTATATGGCCTATAAAATACTAAGTACAGATAAGAAAAACAGCATGTTTCCACAGTTATAAGAATTTCTGTACTATTTGTCGTAGATAGACCAGGATTTATTACACCTCCTTGAATCAGCCACTCTACGCCATCCTGTTGGGAATGTGCTTTGAATTTGGACTTAGGCAAGGCTCTGAAATTACTTGAAGCAGAATCTTGCATGTAGGATTGAGTTCAACTGAGTTACATGTTGTTGCATCACTTGATTATAGCATAAACATTTTGTTTAGAAACAGTTGCTACTGTAGCTGTTGCAGTTTCTCCCGTGCTATCATATGCCAGTGTAAACTAAGTACACCAGCCATTCAGAGTATCAAGTAATCTCTTGGAAGTTGTGCTGTGCTGTCTTGCTGCTTGTATTGACATTAACAGTGGATACTTGGAACAACTAAATAAGGGCCTATTATTTCTGGCACTGTATACTTCTTAGGAATATAATGAATTTAGAAATTTCTGTTAGAAGGACAAGCTCACCTGTGCCTTTGTGAGCTGAGACCTAGTTTATACTCTGTGCAGCCAAAAATAATTTGAATTATGTTGTGTATAAGGACCAAAAGAAAAAAAAATACCTTTAAATGATTCAGTTGTCTAGTTCCTTAAATTGTAGGGAAAGAAACATGGGATAACAAATTACCATAAATTCTTACATGGGCCCATTTCTACCTTTAAAGTCCATAAGATCATTTCACAAGTTTCAAAGACTTCATTATTAGAGGCAAAGTAAAGGAAATTTTATAGATTGTAACTTAGACCACGGCTGAGGACATCTGGTTAGTATAGGTTGAGGAAAATAAGCATGAAATGCTGTGCAGGTAGGTGATTACATCAATGTTGTAAGATTTTAACTCTGAAATGCAAAAATTAGATTCCAAACCATGAGCCTTCACTGTGTGTGGCTATACTATGATACATTAATAAAACTGGCTATCAGTCATCCAAAAACAGCTGGGAAGCCATCTGCAGCTAAAGTCAGTGAGAACTAAATTCATGAGCCTTCTCTTCTCAGTTCAGCAGCACAGTTTCTGGGAAAAGCTGACACACAAAGGGTCCTAACTGCATAAGGAAATTTGTTACCGCTTTTAACTTTACTGTGATGCTTTCCTTCTTTATCAGCATTTGTTTCAACACTCATTATTTGAATCACCAAGACCATTTAACCAGCAGTACATATTTAAGCTGCCAAGCATATGACAAAACATAGGAATGGATTTTATTTTCATCTCAATATTTAAACTGTGAGGAAAAATTTAGCTTTTATTATTTGAATTTGATAGGCTTCAAACACCTGTAGTAGAATCATAGTCATACAAATCCCACCTAGTAAAGTTTTAGGTGACCAGTAACTTTGTCAATTAGATCCGCTGGTCCTGGTCCAATTCCTAGGACAGTTCGAGAGCCCGGTTCAATCTGAGTGCGTCCAGCATCTTGGATTAAGCTTACAGTCAGTCCTAGCATTTTTGCATGGGTCAGTAACTCAATCAGGGTTTCTTCATCAGGGGCTTTGACCACCACTTTCGGCTGGCCACAGTATTCCCACTCTTTGAGCACCTGAGGGTTTCTCTTTTGAGTTTGCTTGTAGGCAGAAACAGCAGCATGAGAACACTGGGCAGCGACTTTCCCTTTTCCCATCTTTAAATCATTTCGAACCACAAGAATCATTTTGTATTCCCCACTTTCTCCCAAGATGCTTGCTTCAGTTCCAGCGTCTGTGTCCATCTCACTCGTCATGTTTTTGGGAGCCATCCTAAAGCGAACCCGTAGGCTCCAGCCCAGGCACACACCACAAGCAACTCCGACAGCAAAGCAGACTGTGCTAGGATGAGCCAAATACTCCATAATCAAGGACCTGGAGAGCATCTTAAGAGAAAGGAAACATGTCACCACTGTCTAACAGTGAAAAAAAGCACATGCTTATCACATAAACACATGGACTACAGGTAGCAAGCACTATGTTAGAACTATATGAGGTATCCAGAAAAAAGGCAAAGTATACTTTGATTTTTTTTATGCATGCTGTTTCAATCCATCCCATGTAACAGGAAAGAATCAATTATTTATATCAAACTTTAGACCAGTTGAACTGATGTGAGTCTTCTTTGGTTCAAAAACTCTTTATTCAGTCTTTATAAATCTTGTGAAGAAAAAAAATGGTCTGTTTTACCAATATACCTGAAAGATTTAGGGGAAAACCAAAAATAATAACCCTTTCCTGAAAAGCCATATATTTGTATTTTTCACAGTACACTGGCTCCCCACTAGCACAATAATGAGCTGACAGTGAGGTGGACTAAAAACCTTACAAAATCGAAGTTATACCACTGGACATTTGTATAACATTTGAGCATAGAGCCCAAATTCACTTTACATACGAACACAAGGTACATTTTTTTTTTTTTTGTCTTTTTCTTTTTTATCAGTACCGGGGATCGAACTCACGATCACACACTTGCAAGGCAGGCGCTTATGCTGCTGAGCTAAATCCCCTAACCCAAAGTACATTATTTTTGACATAGAATATAAAACAAAGTTAGGTCACTCTATCCTTTATTTTAGAAAATCCTGTTACCCAGCAAAGCAGTTGTTTATATTTGACTCAATAAAACCGCTATTGTCAGCCTACATTAAGGCTGATAGAATTCATAATGCTTCCTATGAATAGCTACAAACAACTTTTCTAGCAGTATCCAAGCATTTGAAACACAAAGCCACCATACTTGTGTGCTTGAAAGAGAAGTCTCTAATCTACTTGGCATGGATGATAGTCTTGGAAATACCATAAACTTGCATTCTATTTTCATTAGGTGAAGGACATATGTTAACATTTTAAAATTCATTTGGTAGGCAGATTATGCAGTATTATCAAATTACCATTTCAGAATAGTAGTAGCAGATCTTATTTGCTAAAAATATAATTTACATAATATAAAATCCATGCTTTAAAACTGTATAATTCAGTGGTTTGCAGTACAGCCACAATATTGTGCCACCATCACCACTATTTTCGAAGAATATTTTAGTTTCACTGAAAGTAACCTCTTATTCGCAAGCCCCATTTCCCTTTCTCTGACAACCACTAATCTACTTTGTGCTTATGGACTTACCTATTCCCAACATTTTATATAATCAATCATATATGTGATATTTTGTTTCAGCTTTCATTTGCATAACACTGCTTTAAAGGTTGAGTGTAGCTCAGTTAATTAAAAAAATAATCTGCTACCCTCACACCATCTCTAATCCAAATCCTTCCCTACAAATACAAAACTTATTTCCCAGAACCGGCTATTTAACGTTACAAAACTATCTTGAGAATATTAGAATCATACACTGACCAAAAACTTTTTGCAATTTGCAGTCCTTTTTAGTTATTTTCTTTAATACTCAACTTCTGCAATCAAAGCAGAAAAAGCAGAACTGGTGCAAAACCTATTTCCAGACCATCCATATCCCTACTGCAATGTTCATGCCCAAATAAACTTATTACCTTTTTGAGAATCTCTTACTTATATCCATACAACTATTACTTACTGTTGATATGACCATAAAAAGCATATATAACTCATCTTAAAGATGAGAAAAATAAAGATCAGAGAAGCTGCTTATCCACAGTAACAGTAAGAGTCAGACCTATAAAATATACCCATTTTTTAAAAAACATAATCATCTAATGGTCATAAAAGGCTAACCTTCTCTACTTCATCAAAACACACCAATAAGCCGGGCGTGGTGGCTCACGCCTGTAATCCCAGCACTTGGGAGGCTGAGGCAGGAGGATCATTGAGTTCGAGACCAGCCTAGGCTACAAAGTGAGCCCAAGATCAGCCTGAACTGCAGAGCAAGACCCCGTCTCAAAAAGACAAAAGACAAAAAAAAAAAAAAAAAAAAAAGCACCAATAAGAGGGAAAACAGAAGGTTAAAAATTCCAGAAATTTCCAAACTTGCTTTTGTTTTATTCTAAATGAGGTTTCTGATTATAAAATCTGATTGCTTTAATTTCATGTCAATTCCATCATCTAACTCCTCCAAAAAGCGTTTAGGTCTTTCTTTTTCCGCATACTTACTATTCACACCTTAATAAACCCTGTGCTTGAGACTAGTATTCTTAGTCTTAAGATCTTTATTTATTTATTTTTTTTTTTTGTCTTTTTCGGTTTTTATCGGTACCGGGGATCGAACTCACGACCGCCTGTTTGCAAGGCAGGCGCTTATGCCGCTGAGCTAAATCCCCAGCCCCAGTCTTACGATCTTTAGCAATGACAGCACAGTAAAACAATTCCTGTAAAACCTTTATCTCATGCCTTCTAATTTCCCTGCCTAACTAAAAACATTTCCCCAATGTTCTTGGTTCCCATCACCTCCTGAGCCATGCACCCCACTCCACAAGTACTGTTTCTGCATTTTCCAACTAAAAAAAAACTTCTCAAGGCTTCAACCCTGTAACCATTTTCTCTTCCCTTCATCTCCTAAGTTTAGCTACTGACCTCTACCTCTCTAAATCGCTGTGCCCATGCAGCAATCTTTCCCAGTATACTGAAAGTCAAAGGAACCAGGCACTTGCTAATTGCTAAATGGAGAGACTTCTTTTTAGGCCCCATCTTGAATTTTCTACACCAAACACTCATTACTCATCAAACATAAAAGTTTTCCTCCTTTGAATTGTTTAACCCACCTTTCACCCCAATAGTCATCCTAGCTCGTTCACAGCTTCTTTTTTTACATTCTCCTTTGGAGCTACATTCTCTTCCACTGATATATGTGCTGAATTACATAAGCTTACATATATGGTCCTCTTTTTATATGTAATGGTCCAATATAACAGCCATTAGATTCATGCGGTTTTGTAAACTCAAAATTCATTTCTTCAGTTCCAGTTATCTACATTTCAAGAGCTTAATAACAATTTGAAAGTGGCTAAAGGTCACTTCTACTGGTGAGACATACAATGAATATGTGTATCATTGAAGAAACTTTTATGGACTGCACTGGTCTTTATCCTCTCTTTCCATTCAGTCAATCAGTCAATCATCATTGAAGGGATCCTGCACATTCCAGGTACTGTTTTGAGGTCTGGACAGAGTACCAAAATGAACAAAAAAAGTCCCCTATTTCCCATAAAGTTAACATTTAGTGGGAGGAGACAGTAAACAAAGTTCATCACAGGAACAATCTCATTTATTCCCAAATCACTGTATGCACAGGACTCCTAACACATCTCTGGCCTCAACTTGAACCTCCAGTTTTTGCTAGACCCCATTTAAAGAGGTATATGAAGTGCCTTCCCCACCCATCTCTCTCTGTCTCTCTCTCATCACTTTCTAATGGTGGGAATCAGACCCAGGATCCTATCTGTGCATTTGAACATTTCTGTATTTTTATTTCTACATAAATCTGCACTTTTTCTCCTCCTACATTCTGCCACCAAATCAATTTGTCTTAACCCTGTCCTGTTATTTCCACTTAGAAAACTCTCATCTCTTGCCAAAAGCAAAATTACATTAACTCTAAACTTTCCCATATTTGCATGTTATTCTCGTTTAACCTATTCCTAATACCATTATAGTCATACGTCCAAAATACATGCTCAAAAATCACCAGTTAAACACTTGCAGGATTTAAAAAAAAAAAATCCCTTAGCACAAATTCAAAGCACTATACAATTTGGCTACAGAGTACTATTTCTATCAGAATTCCTCTCCTGCTACACAATGTACCATCCAGCCATACCAAATTAAATCCTTTCAAGCGGCAATCTCTCTCGGGAATAATCTTCTAGTCTTCGGCATTTAAACATACAAGCAAAAACATCCTAGTCACATGAAAAGGCCCAACTGAAATGTCATTGAGAAGTGTTTACCATCCCCCAGCGAGGCTTCATTATCTGTTTTTCAAAACTTCTCTGACACGTATTCCCAGTGTCTAGTACAATGCTCGGTGTATGGAGAATTAAATGCTTCTCTAGACACTATTTCTATATGATACAGGAGAATGAAACTTCTGATTTTTAGAAATCTTTCCACGTAATTCAACAGCTTTTGAAACTCACACTCAATACTATGAAGAGTGGGAGGCCTGCTTGCTATTTTCTCACATTCAGAGTGCACTTGATGCAGCCTGAATCAGGGGGCTTTGGGAGAAACTAGGAATTCTGGGTTCCAGAATCTTGGTTCCTTCTTCTAAAAAATGGTTTGTAAAACAGGCACACTGATCCAGCAGCCACTGAGAAAAATAGTTTAACGAGATGAAAAGGGGGTAGTGGTTACGGAAGGAGCTAGGAAGAAACCCTCCAACTGGTGGAGGGTGAATGCATAATTATATTAGTCTCCTTCTCCCTGGAAAGGATCGACCTACCTACAGTACCTCCCGACTTTTTTCTTCTTCACTTCTGGGATAGCCGACACGTTTCTGGCACGCGAACTACCTCTTCCGGTATCCTGGTAACTTCCGGGTCAAAAACCACAACGCGAGTAGTCATTCTTCCTCTTGCCACGCCCACGGGATCGCGAACTACCAGCTGAACTGAAATCCTGAGAGGATCAGCGGAGGTTGCCAAAAGCAGCGGGAACGTTTTTTTTCTCTTGGAGGCGGTCTCTGCAGGGACCGGGCCGGAAGTGACGTTAGCGAGTTCCGGTTGGCCAGAGCCCAGCGGCGGGTGTGAGAGTCGGTCGTGAGCCGCTTCCAGGAGCCTGAGATCCGGAGACGCCGGGATCGGAGCGGGTAAGTAAGCGAAAGCGGGGAGTTGGGGACGGAAGCCTGAGGTTATCCTCAGAGCTTGACTTCTTCCCGCCTTCTCCCACTGAAGGAATTGCAAATCTGGGGCACGGTGATTTCGACTTCTAGGAGTGTTAGGGCGCTGCTGACTCTGGATGTCTCAGCCTGGAGGTAGCCAGGATATTTGGGACACGTCTTCGTCACTGGTTAACTGGACATTGAACCCAGACACTGGACACCTTTCCGTTCGTCTCCTCTCCATAGTCGTGGAAGCTGTACTCAACTTCTATAGAAAACCTTGTCTTCTCTGGGTCCCTGGGACCTTGGAGCACATGAAGAAGGTCTTTCCAGCTGATGAACGAGCTGTTTCAGGACGTAGCAGTTTGGTTCTTGCCTTACCCAACCACTAGCGCAGGATGGTAAATGTATCCGCTTCTAAAAAAACCTAGGCTTGTGAATGCCATCTAAAGCCCTGATGATAGAGTGGTCAAGGGAATGGGCCTGTGCTTCGTAGAAACCTTGCTGAGGACCTAGGATCTCCCGATGAGAGAGATCCTATGAAAAATACAGTTCTCTTTTTCTGAATTCTTGGTCCTCAGCGTTTGTATTTCGTTACAGTGAAAATATTTACAATAATACATGAAGGTCAATTTAATCTTTAAAATTCCAAGAAGCAATTAATGGCACTGTGTCCCACTGCTGGGTTACTGAAGGACCTTCAGGCCGGGTATGATGATGTGTGCCCATAATCCCAGCACTCAGCTAGGCGGGTGGATCACCTTGAATTCCAGGCCAACCTGGGCTACATAGTGAGTTCAACGCCAGCCTGAACTGCATAGCGTGTCTCTGTCTCATACAGACAACAACAACAAAAACTCCCAAAAACTTAATGACCTCCAGTAGATTTTACAGACTCACTGGTTTTCTGCACCTCCGTGCAAATATCTGATAGACTGGCATTGTTTATGTATCTCGACCACATGGCTTCTTATCCTGTCTTACCTCTTTTGTTGCTTGTCAGAAGTTTTGTAAACAGGTTGCATTGGTCATTTGGAAAAGCTTGAATAAGTGTTTCTAGTGTTGTGATTGAAAATTGAATACTTTGTTACTGCCTACTAAATGTCATTAGCTCTGATTTTAGTTGTGTATTCTTAGCATAAATGAAAGGAAGAAACTATTCATTACAAGGCAGCATTACATGTGTTATAAATTGTTTGTATAGGCCTTTGGAAGAGAGGGTGGTACTCCTGCCCAATTTGTGTAGATGTGAAACTCTTTCATATTTTACTTTTGTATTTGCTTACTTGTGGGGACAAGGAGTACTCAGGATTGAACCAAGGGTCTTGTGGTGTTGTATCACTAAATTATGTCGCCAGCCCTTCTTTATTTTTGACACAGGCCTGTCCAAGGTGCCCAGGCTGGTCTTGAACTTGTGATTCTTCTGCATCAGCCTCCCAAGTAGCCAAGATGATGCCGTTGCTGCACTACACTCACAGGCGACCTGCATTGTTTAAAGGCCACGAAACTTGCTTTTAATTAGATTTTATTGGTACATTGTAGATATACATAATGATCACATTCATCAGAGAATTTGTACCTGGACATGATATAACTTGGGGATCCGAACTCATGACCTTGCATTTGTCAGGCAAGCGCTTATGCCGCTGAGCTAAATCCCCTACCCTTTTATAATTTGGGTTTTTTTTCCCCACATTTCCCTGCCCTCCCTTCAACCACTTCTCCCCTCCCCACTTACAAAGCTTTGTTTCCATGTTTTCCTTTTCTCATTTTTTTACTTTTTCCTTCTTTCCTTTCCCTGTCCCTTCTCCCTTGTTCGTTCCCCATTTGAACATTTTCCCTCCTGTTTCACAATACTTATTTTACATTTTGGTCCTTCTTTACGCTTTTGGTTTCTCACACTAGAGAAACAATGCAGTATTTACACATAGGTGTCTGATTTATTTCTCTTTAGAATATGGACTCAGGGTGTATCCATTTTCCTAAAAATGCCTCACGTGTATCCTTCTTTATGGCAGAGTAGTATTCCATTGTATAAAATAATCACATTTTTATCCATTCATTTGCTGATGGTAACTTGGATTGTTTCCAGAATTTGGCTATTAAAAACTGAAGCATTGGAACTTTTTTTAGAAGTACATATTTATCCAGGTGTGATAACACTCCTATAATCCCAGCATTTGGGAGACTGAAGAGAATCCCCACAAATTTGAGGCCAGACTGGACTAATAATGAGTTCAAGGCCACTCTGAACTATATAGCAAGATCCTGTCCACCCCCACCTCCAAAAAGGGTATGTTTTATATGAGTATACTTGATTAGCAGAGTTAAATTCCTGTGGCTCCCCTTTCCGAAGAAAATATACATACAACTAGGTTTCTGAAATACTTTAAAAAATGATTTGATCTCTTTTAACACCTTACCTGCAGCCAGTTTAACCAGTCTTTTTTATTTCTTCACATCTTTTTATTAGTGCATATTATCTATACGGATTAATGGGTTTCATTTTGGCAGATTCATACATGCACATAATATACTTTAATCATAACACACACCCCACCACGCACACACACACACACACACACACACACACACTGCTCTCTTTGCCCAATGATCACTCCATTTTCACAATTTGGAGGAGGTTTCAGTGCATATAATATAATTTAATCATACCTGTCCCCTTATTACCTGCTGTTACACTCTTTAAGTTAAAGTTTTTTCACACTTGGCTTTGAAATGAGATGACAAGCTTTTTGACAGGTAAAATTGTAAAAGATGTATCATTAATATTCAGTAACTTTGGCGGGGAATTTAGCTTAGGTGTATAAGCGCCTGCCTTGCAAGTGTGAGGTCATGAGTTCAATCCCCCATACCAAAAAATTTTTTTTCAGTAACTTTGCTTACTGATTATATAAATCCCAAATTGTTTTTATATTCCTTTAGTTCAATTCACTTATCTAGGTACTGATTATCTAACACCACGTTTTAAGATTTTGAAGAGCATGAAACATTCAATCAGAGTGCCTGGATTAAATTCCAGACTCCAGCACTGATTGAGTAATCACTGCCAGGTTGCCTGACATTCTGAGCTGGTCTGAATTCTGTTGATAAAACTACTACTAGGCTTTATTTCATGAGCTGTCACAAGATTTAGTAAGATGGCAAATGTGAAGTCACCATATAAAGTGAAAATATGTTGATACTGTCATTTCACTCTAGAAATATTATATTGTCATTGTGGAATACTGTAACTTTGCATCATTTTATGGTTTGATCATTTATGTTATATATCCTTTTATCTGAAAATATCATATAACTAAGATGATCTTTGTCCTACATTTCAACACCATAAAGCTGGCCAAGCATGGTTTGATACTCTGATCCATTGAATTACTCATCTAGATTAATCAGCAGGTGGCTGGAAGATGAATATAGTTTTACACTTGGGATTTTAAATATGATCTTTTTTAGTCATCATGTATTATCACTTGAGAATTTCCAAATGCAGGAAAAAAATGAAGCTTTGGGTATTTATATAACAGAGTCTGCCAAAAACATATACACACTTCAGGAAAAGAAAAACTTGTATATTTTAATACTAAATATATTGAGACATCATGAGATTATACAAGTTACTTTTGGCCTCTACAATTCCAGAGTGGTAACCATTAGCTTCCAGACAGTTATTAGTACTTCGAACTGCTGCTTGGGTAACCTTGGTCACTGAGATTGTGGCACATGCATTGTTAGTTACTTCTCTAAGGGCCTGCATTGTCAATGAGTTTCTGTGATGTGTGACATCCTCTAGGATCTGCCATATGAGGGTAACAACATTTGTTTAAAAAATACAGTATTTTTCTTTTTCTAAAGTGTATAATTTTTTTTTAGCAAATTGTATTAACTGAAGGTTAGACATTGCCCTCAGCTTGCTTACTTATATTGGGTAAAAAGTATTGTTTTACTGAAGCTAATATTTCAAACTAGAAGAAACTTCTGTGAACAGTCTTTTCATTTAATAGAAGAGAAAATTAATGGCTCCAAAACAGTCAGTAATTGGCTTATTGGAGGTCATCTGCCATGGGTAATGCTGAACCTGAACTGAATTTAAGGTCTGAAGTGTCCTTTCTGTTCCACCTAGGCTATCCCTGGCATTTTGATGTGGTTTGGCAATTGTCCTGGTTTGTATGCAAAAATCTTTAATGTATTAAAGGAGTACACACACAATAAACACTAACTGTTTTTCCTTTTTCCTTGGTATGGTCTTGTAAATTATAGAAAAACAAAAGGCATGGAGACATTTGCTGTGGAGTAAATTAAAGAAGGAAAATTACTTGAATTCTTCAGATCAGTTATTCTGAGTTCATGCTTGATTACTGTCAGAGATTGAAATGTTTTTGTTTTAGGAAGTAGAAATGTTAAGATCCTTGTAACGCATTAGTGAATGTTGCTAACCAGGAAGGTGAGCTGTAGTAATTTCTTGCCTCTGATTGAAATTATTTCTCCATGGTATTGTTTTAATAGTCTGTTGTAAGTTACCTTTTACCTATAGAATCATCTCTCTGCTGTTTCATTCTACATAAAAAGCCACTGTAGAAGACTAAGTTCATTGTTTTATTGGGAACTCTTTATCAGTTCCATTGATTTCACAAAACCTGTTTAGTCTCTTTCCTTTTTTGGAAATGACATGATACAACTATTATTGTTTTTGCCCAAATTCCCTCTGTGTTATCTCTTTTTATTGTGGAAATGAGCTCTAGATAAGTGAATTCTGACAAGATAAATTGTAGACTTAACTTTGTCATGATTATCTACTTTTACAAAGA